CTTGGCTTCAGTGTGCTCAGTATCCTCAATAACAAGATCTCTGCGATTACGCTTGATTAGTAGTCTCCAAAGTTTAGATGCTGAGTTATCAACATAACGTAACAGTAAATTCCTTAAAAATGAACATCGTGGGTTTTGCTACAACATAAAGGAAGCTTCCTAGGTAATAGGAGCCCATAGAACCACACTCACTTCAGCATAGAGGTGAATGTGATATACTGGAAGAAATTACACAAATGGGGTAACGGAAAAAGAGGTAAACGACAGGAAAGGCAAGAACGATAATAACACGAAAGCAGCTGCACTAAACACCATTACGAGAACGGATGTTCTAACGTATTGCTCAACTCATTGAAGAGGTACCTGGTTTCACCGATACTCTTCAACAGCAAAATAAAGAGATGCCAAATAACCGTCTTACATTATAGCCACAATGACGAGTTACAGCAGTGGCCTCACGCCTTATCATGCCTACTGCTGTTTCTGCATCTCCGAAAATCATTCAGTCCTTGAATTTTGGACAAATATATCTCACCATATGCCGCACTGTGTTCATTACAATATGATCTGCCATGATAAAATTGTGATTTTCTGCAGCCCGCAGAACCAAATTTTAATGTCTAAATGAATCAAAAGTGTGGAGCAATAGATAGAAGAGCTTAAAGAATAAAATGAATAAATAGAGCTTCCGGAGTTGATCTATCCCTGAGGGATGCGCCATGCATTCGACTTCATTAAGTATCGTTGGGGTAATTAAATGCATATCTGGGCTTTACAATGACTCGTAAAGGTCTACTATGTATCGAACCAGTTCTGCTATCCTCCCAGACAAGTCTGGTAGTATCAATTTACCGATCCCCGAGGGATGGAGGGATCAGTGGGCCTGGGGTTTAGGGATCGGCACATGTGTATTGCAGGGCGCCTCCAACCATACGACAACTGCGTTACACGCAGCCCTTAGAGCTTAGAAGAACTTAAAGGATACATAGAGAAATAAAAACCACCGAAAGGACTAGAAAAACACATTTAAAAAGCGAATTGTAGACATGAAAACACAATAAAAGCGGCGGTGCCATTTGCTTAGTTGTGGGCAATAACCAGTGTGAGGGGAGATACACTAACAGGTCGTGTAGAGAAAAATTAAGTGCTTAATAGATATGGTAGCTAGACAAATTTAGGCGTTGCTCTCTAACTGTTAATTTAAAAATGCAAATCCTAGCATTTATCCTTATTTCAACGACAGAAGTGAAAAAGTTGAAAGAACACTTCATGTTTTAAGGCAGATACTTTTCAATGGCAAGGCATGATGTTAAATATAACTACAATAATGCTGATATATTTAAAAAACTCCAGACCGCAGGTGTTTACGTTGGAGATTGAACTCGTTTTCACCCCTTCCGGGAGCTAACGCGTTCATCACCACACCTTGCGGGTCATTCGTTTCTTCTTTCTCTCAGGCGTGTTTTAACCTATTCCTTTACGTTTACCCAACGCAATTTATATTACAGGTTCAGTTTAACTGGGTTCAATGCCGATTTGTGCTTCCCAGATCAACCTCGTTGATGGGTGATTGCTGATAGCAACTATAGGTTACAACACGGTTGAGAGGAAAAAGAAACGAAGGGCCAGCTTAGCCTGGTGGTGAACGCGTTAGTCTCCGGAAAGGGTTATAGCAAGTTCAAGCCCACCGCAAACTACGTGTCTTATTTCAAAAAGCCGAAGAAAGAGTGTTAGCGCTTTATGACATCATTTGGTCCACAAATAACAAATCATTAGTAAGTACTAAGTTTGAAATGTATTTAAAACCGATCAAAAACGTGTCTATAGAAAAATCTTCTAAATGAGCACTTTACACTTCTAATGGTATTAAGCACGAAATTCTTTTCTGCATTGCGTAAGTAGCATGTAACTTTAATAGAGACGAAGTCGGAGTGAAAATTTCAAAAAATCAGCACTTTAGAATGTTCGTCACCTGTAAAACAGATGCTCCGACATTCAGGAACGCTAGACCTGTTTCTGCACTTTCTATCCCACCAGTAGCCATAATAGGAAAACCTTTTAGATCATTTGCTATAGCAGCCACAGCTCTGAGAGCAATTGGTCGAATAGCTGAGCCAGACACTCCACCATAAGTAGTTCTAGAAATATTAATTGGCTCTCTCGAGCATACGCTTGTTCTCCTTATTCTCTAAGCCTAATTTACATGATCATTTTGTCTAAGTTTGGAAGCTTCCAAACAAAAGAGAAGAATTAAGAGTTTACATTTTTGCTCTTGCCGCTAGGTCTTTTGCGGACGCAATACTTTGATCCTATTTTAGCACTACGAAAAATATGTCTTAACGGAATTAACCAGATTACTACCCGAATCTACTGGACAACGTACGAGTAGGGGTACTGACAACAAATATTGAAGGTCCCTCACTTTTTCTCCTCTCCAACTGAAGGCCAAGCAGTTCCTTCGGCTCTCAAGTGCATGAGGCCTGATAAAGTATTAGTGGCAGTCACACCGTTTGCTCCTCCTGATTTTGCTGCTCGTGCTATCATCCGGATATCCGTGATATTAGGCGACATTTTCGGAAAAAAAGGTATCTGAAACGCGTAAGAAATGAATCCTTCATTTTATCTTATCTTTTGCTTTCTGCTTTTTCTGTTTTCTTGGCAAAATGCGATGTGAAATAGAATCACAGAGATGTTGAGATATTAACAAAACTCGAAGCCTCCTTCAAACCCGCGATTACCTTTTCCTGGGGTTTACGTGCTATCCACCTCAGCAACCGAGATCCTCGCTTTGCCTTTCCTTCAGCCATACTCTAATTTCGAAAAAACTAATTTTCAGCAATCACTCGTTGTTGGGAATGACTGGAGAAATGTCAACGGCATTCCTGTTGACCGGTAATTGCTGATGGCAGCAATAAAGTTAAAACATGGCCGAGAGAAAGTCAAAGCGACAGTCATGGTTAACGTGGCAGATAGCACGTGAACCGACGGAGAGTGGAATCGCCGGCTAAAAGTCCAATTGAGGCTCCCAGTTTTGCTCACATCTCTTCGCTTTGTATTCATAACCTGAACGACCGAGAGATTTAAATGAACAGCAAACTTAGTAAATAGTTTGGAAGCAATTTAATACAAAGTGCCCGCATGAAAAAAAAACAGAATCAACGCTTTTTAAACGAAATAATCTGGTTTGATATACGTCTTCAAAATGCTAAAGACAACAAAGAACTAATAACAGATGAACTGTGTTCAAAAAATTATTGGAAAACCATTAGCCTTCGTGAAGAGATAGATAAACAGAGAAATAAAACATGAACTTGAAAAAAGAAATAAATGACGACGTTTTGACAAGGAACATTACCTTCACCCGCTGACGGGTGATTGCTGATGGCAGAGATCTATAGATCTAGATGAGAGACAGGCGAAACGAAGGAATCGCGTGGTGTGGTGGTGAACGCGTTACTCCCCGGAAAGGACAATAGCGCGTTCGTTCCCCACCGCAGACACCTGCGGTCCGGTGTTTTGCAAATATCTCAGCATCATCGAAGTTATATTTCGAATTGTATACCCTGCCGTTAAAAAGAGTAGGCAGTAAATAATAAGTTAAAATTACCTTCACTGCTTCCTTTATCCACGTGCAAATTGCCCTCACAATTTCTGGATCCTGCCCACATGCGAGTCCCATGCCTTTGTTTCAAATTATTCAAAACGTGTTCCAAAATCTTTTCATGTACAAACAAAACATTGAACAAAGAGCTACGTGTATTCGTGCGGAGCTCTCAGTTAATAGGACTTTACTATTGTTTAACTCCCCTTCACATTCGTGAAACAGCTAGCAGTTACCTTTTTCTCCCATTCCATGTGGACACGAAAGATTTAGCTCAAGAAAGTCGGCACCAGCGTCTTCGCATTGCTTCGACAAAAGCGTCCAATCGTCCTTAACAAAATTTCTTCAGATTTCTATAATGGAAAACACCCCAAAAACAAGAATGAGCATGGGTAAAATCAATCACTGGCTTGTTTGAACACCATTTTGGATCTTCCTGTCCCACAATTTCTCTAAAGAACTGCGTAGACTACGGATCAAGTAGAACTATTATAGTTAACTGTGAAATAAACTGAATGCATTACAGACTAGGGCCAGTTAACTGTGAAATAAACTAAATATTTACCTTATCAAATGTGCACATAATCGAGGCAACCACAACTTTCTCCGGAAAATCCTGTTTCAGTTCCCTTATGCAACTTAGCCAATAGGCTGCTGACTTTTCCGAAATCAATTCTATATTCAAAAATGACCCCTAAAGTATCGTAAGCATTATTTTCTTCCGCAAGAAGATGAAATACTGCTGTGTTAAAAAATGGAAGTGTTATGTAGATAGCTTACCTGGTTAGGACCGTAGATAGGTCCACTAGTCGATCCTCTAACAATCCGTGGAGACACATTAGTTATACGATCCTGCACTGGTATTGTAAGGATTTTTTTTTTTTTAGACAAAACTATCTCATTGGATTTCACTAGACCAATTTTATCTAGTTCTATATGAAATGCTAACTACTGAATAGATACCTTGACATAAAAGTAATTGCGGTTTTTGTATTGTTGAGATTTGTCACCAGTTAATGGAGCACATTATTAAATAAATGTGCCTACATCGTAAATGATTTCAATGCACATTTCTCTCTTTATATTTTTCTAGTAATGACCTATTACTTGCCACTAACTTTATATATATTTTTCATTACGGATGTTAGTTGTTAGACGACAAGCAGCATCTAGTGAATTTTTACTGGAATTTGAAATGGGTCGGAAGCAGCCGAAACAAGTCACAACATCGACAACATATAAATCCAGGAACTTCCAACGAAATACAGCGCAATGGTGATGGAAGATGCTTTGTAAAGGAAGCAAGAGCCTTGAAGATGAAAAGCTCTGTGGCGGGTCATTCAAAGTCAACCATAAACCAACTGAGAGCAATGATGAAAACTGATCGTTACACAACTAAACGAGAAGCTACCATAAAACTAAACGTCGACTATTCTTAGGTCACTAAGCATTTGAAGTAAATTGGAAAACTAAAAAAGCTCAATAAGCGACTGGTTGATGAGCCGAATGGAACTCAAAATAGCCGCACCTTCGCTTAACGACGTGAGTTGAGAAGTTGATCCTACACAGTACCAGATAACTTTATATTTTGTGGTTGCCTGAGATAATAGCCACTGTTTGGAAATCCATAAATACAATCATTCACTTTTTTATGTTTTTATACGACCAATCTTTCACATCTGCTGTGCGGAATCCAGCACTTCTCACATTCGATTCGTTTGCTCGCGCTCATTTTCCACGAAGGTCTTCCGACTTCTTGCTTATGTCTTCAACTGTTGCTTGAGGATTTTCCGTCAATCTTGAGTGCCGTTGAACGCCGATTGAGCGATTTTCCTTGGAGTTTTGAGATAGTCTGGCTAGAGCATTCCGACTTGAATTGCAGAGAGTGGTTTTCCCGAACAATACCGGTAGCAATTTCCCGACTTCAGAGAGATGAGAGGCTTCGGAGCCGAGGAGCGGGATCGGAGCAGCACAGTACATGTTGTGTTCGTGATGACCGGTATCACGACCATTGTGCTATCCGTCCCCTAATCGCTATGGGATTCTAAAAAGAACTGTAGTTCCAACGATACTGAGATATTTGCAAAATTCCGAACCGCAGGTGCATACGGTGGGAAACGAACGCGCTATTGTCCTTTCCGGGGAGTAACGAGCTCACCACCACACCATGCAGACCCTTCGCTTCGCCTGTTTTTCAGGTAGTTCTATCGATCTCTACCGTCAGCAGTCATCCGTCAACGGGATTGATCAGGGGAGCCTAAATCGGCAATGAACCCAGTTAAGTTAAGGCTTTAGTTATAATCACAATCTTAACCGTTTTATTTACTACCTACTATTTTTTGAGTGCGTTACTCCCCGGAAAGGACAATAGCGCGTTCGTTCCCCACGGCAGACGCCTGCGGTCCGGAGTTTTGCAAATACCTCAGCATTGCTGAAGTTATATTTCGCACTATATCTTGCCATTAAACTATAGTTTTCTAAATCTAGCGAAATGACTACAGCAGAAAAGTATTGACAAGCAATCGATTAAATGCATTAAAACGGCAATATGTTGACCTGCCTTTGGTCAGCAGAAAAGATTTACTCCTTTTGAACGACATATTCCTCTCGCATGAACTCTGCCTTACTGACGATGCTCAGCAGGCCACTGACTAACCGATTACTACTTTTTCGAGCATCTCAACTACTATTTTGAAGGATTCTTCAGCCATCAATCGCCGTGAAAAGTGCCTTTGAGGAGCCCAATTCTTCCACAGCTTCAGTTTTTTATCTTATAAGTAAAAAATTAAGTGGGCTTTTATGGCTCTTCTCTTGTGCTTTTTCAACTTGAAAAAATTGTATCTGAATCCAGTGACAACAATTCCATCCACAAAACCGCTATTAGTTTTGCAAATAACGTACTTTCATGAAACACATGTGTAAACTATATGCTTCTTAAACGTCAATTAATGGATATACCTTTGGTAAATAGTCACATTTTTTTCACCTTATCAAGCCCAAATGTCTTGGTCAATATGAAGCTCCATCCCTGTTCGAAAGCTCGGCGACACATCGGTCCAGATGTTGTAGGAGGGGCTGATGCTAGTCCAAATGGATGTTCAAACTTAACACCGCACATTTCCACTGATATATCGACCTTAATAGAACAGGATTCGATATTAGGGCGACATTCTAAGCAAAAGTTGGAATTACCTCATCGATAGGAGTAAAGAACATAGGAAGTTTCGGAATGCCTCCCACGTCATTTCCATAGAGTGATTGGATATATTTGTGCATGGACCAAGCAGCCACCTTTAACACGTCCGCGTTAAAGTGGGTTTTTTTTTTAATAATCGCCGAATGATTCTCGAATAAACCAGACCACACACTAGAACCAGAAGGACTAATACACTTATAGAATTTACCCCAGCAGGTTAAAGATGCACGCAATTTTTATAACACGGCCCTCCAAGACGTTTAATATGGATATTCTCGAAAAGTTGAAAATGATACTTAAATTTCGAAATTTTTCCATGCAAACGCGGCAGCTGAAAAGCTAGTGACACACTAGGAACACCATCCTGTTTTGTTCAAAACATAAGCCTCAACGGAAAAACAACTTACACCTTGAAGAAAAAGACCAGTAGATTGAAATGGTTCTCCTTCAGTAGGTAAATCTTATCCACTGCCACTCACATATAACATCTCATTTGCCTCCCACACTCCTTTTTTGCCGTTCACAGACTTTTTCACTTCACTTTTGTACTTAACCGACAGAACAGTTTACCAGATTTCGAAATAAAAAGCTATTTTCCACACTTGGTGAAACACGAAGAGCTGTTTTCCGAAAGAGTTTGTTCGTTATGTCATAGAGAATGCCGCTTGAAAGTACGCCAAGATAGCGACAGAGTCACAGAGAAAGGTGGCGCTATAATTTCCGCGGAGTATGTATATTCCATTAATGCCGGTAATTTTTCGATAAATAGAACACTTCATCATTTAGAAACATGATAAATTTGTAGAAAAACTTTGTGCGGCATGTGGTGCTACCACAAAAATATTTAGCAAATGTATATCTCAGGGAATATACCTTTCCGTCGTTAACAGACTCGACAGTGGTTTCAGCAACACCAGCAATATCTCCACCGGCAAATACCCAAGGCTCGCTCGTTGCTTGTGTCGAACTATCAACTTCCGGTATTCCCCATTTGATCAGTTTGAGAGGAGACATGGCGTACACAACTATAATTGCAAACCGCAAAGCCAGTCTGAGGTATTCGATCATTTGGTCACAAGGATTCACACAATTATGGATGAATGCCACTCTAAAAACGAACCTTCTGGATCGAGAAGTGCTGATCCAAATGCAGAAATAATATAGTCTGCTTTAACAGTGATCGTCTGCTCCTCATCCTCGTACCTGCAAATAGATTGGAATTGTTTTTGTTTTACAAAAAGTACCTTTGAACGGGAGAAAACCTTCAAAAAAGTGGTAAAACGTCGAAAAATATTCGGCGGCAACCATTCATTCCATATTGAATTCCCTAAAAGTAACGTCATACCATTTTCCATCCGAGTCTTGGTCGGTCTTCACAAACTGCATTGATACGATCTTACCATCTTTCACGTTCACCGCTCTAGGTGCACAGAATGGCATGAACTCACACTTCTCCTCACGAGCAAGTTCCATCTATATAAATCTTGTTAAGACGATATTTATGGGGTTTAATATGTGTTTGGTTGTTATCCTAACCTTACGCACTACGCATGCGAAGTGCATATTACTTAATTCCACATTTACATAGTAATCATTTCCGACTTTTCCCAACGATTTATGGCCTCATCGTGGCTGGGAGGTGTTCCTGGGTGTCGGGCTAAGATGTACAACCGGGAGATTCGTCCTCCCGGAAGGTCTCCCAAGCTGAGTCCGGCGTTTCCATCAGGAAGTATAGCTAAGCGTAAACCAATACCAGGACCCACCACCACCCTAGTGTCAAAGTCGCATGGTGGCAAATCTCCCTCTGATCCACAAGGACAGCGATTGTTTGTCGTGGTGACGACCTGGGGCAGACTTTGGCCAGGCTGTCCTCGGGATTCCAGGGAACCACAATGACTCAACCAGGAAATCTTCGAAAAATGGTGATTATGCTGGGGCTCGCACAGCTAGTGAGGATGGGCCGTTCAAGTATCAAGTAGTATTTCCGAGTTGTAATGCTTACATTGCCGCATTTAGTTGATGATAAAAACAACAGTTTTGAAACTCAGAAATAAATTCGCCTCCTCTGGCACGGCTCGGATTCCAGTTATTCCTTTACGAAACACCACAATTACTCTTTTTGCTCCACATCGAAGAGCGGAAGTTGCACAGTCGAAAGCAGTGTCACCTGAACGACAGCATTAAAAGCAATTTCTAGTAGTGTACTGATACTGAGCGACAATGTAATTTCTAATGGATAGCGCCGATCTGCTTTCATTAAACTTATTTCTTCAGTGATGCATAATTTTCGTAACGTCGGGAAGGTCTTCACTCATGTTTTAAATAGTGCTCGATGACAAAGTTACCGTTGTTTTCCAGTAATTTTCATTCACCGAACCGAAAGATTTGTCTATCGTATTCCAAAATTACTTAAACTTCAGCGTTCTCATGGTTGTGACACTTAAACATTACGGCTTGAAATGTCAGCATGTACTTCGAACAACGAAGGGATTAAAAAGCGTCATTCTATCCCGCATGACACGAAAGTGTCCCAAAAATAGTATTTGTGCTGCACTTGATCATATAAAGTTAAAAACTAGAATATGTTCTTGAAATCTCTGAATATGTGAGCTCCAAACAACTTCAAAACTAAGAGAAAAATTGGGAAGAACTATACAAACAACCCTAAAGTGGAAACGAGTAGTCTTACGCTTCTAAAATTCTTGACTTTTAAAGCAGTTTAGCAAACAGAAAATTATTGGCTGTTGTCGAAAAACTTGACTTAAACGTTGTCAGCTACTATTAGTCAGCATACCTCATATCGTCTCAGGCGTTTTATAGTTTATAAAAGCTTACCGGCTCCAAGTACAAGGACTCGTCCTTTAAGTGACGGAAGTGGGGTCCCAGAACATCCACACAAGCCTAAAAGATCCATATGATTTTCTAACACTATGTGCTTGCTAATAACCTCCGTCGGTTTCTCCTTCCATTATCCCTTACCTCACTATGACAAGGCAGAGTTCCAGTATGCTAAACTGTGACTCATATGAATTAATGGTCATGTTTCATACAAAATTACACTACTCATAAACAAGTTTCCCCTAAAAATGTTGTCGATCAAAAATTTAATCCCTTGGAAGTAATCTCCTGTCGGCAGTTCAAGAAGCGCACAACAACAATTATAAGCCTTTCTTTCTCGTATAACACTCTCAGCACGAATCTGGAGCTCTCGTGTCGATTAAGGCAATCATATCTGGTGAACCCCGTACGTTTCGTGGTCACTCATTATTAAAGAACGGGTACTTACCATGGAAGAGGAGAAAGACAGCTTCCACAACTTATAAATGAGCGAATTTAAAAAATTCCCTGATCTCCTCACTGGAGACCTTCGTGATTATGTTGCTTCCTCAAGAAGTTTTGCTGAGGAAAAGGCATTAACATTCATGACCCATAAAAACCATCCATCTGAGTTCTCTCTTTCATTACTTTTTTCTTTCGCCTCACATTTAACTTCCAAGCATTTTTGACTTACTACTTCATTTCGCCCTCCCTTATTCAATCCTTAGTACGTAATAGTTTTATCATTCCAAAGTCACCTATTTTACTTGCCGCTGCTACTTTGGGCAAAAAATCCTTGCTTGTGTAAAACCCATGGTTTTCTGTTAATCCATCGAAGATAGGAATCCTTTTAGGTTCCGGCATTCCGATACCGATGAAAACTGCTTTCACTCCGCTGACCTGAAGTATCAATGTCACTGTCAGTTATTTTTCTTAAATACATTTGAAAGGATACAGTTGTCCAACCACTGCCGATAATTATTCGATTACTGAAGCACTTCCAAACACTTTCAGACTTGAAGAACTTAAAGAAAAGGCTTTGCTTATGGCTTAAAGACTGAAACATTTTCCAAGCATTGCATACGCGTAAAACTTCCTCTGGCCCACGAACCTCAGCAAGAAGCTGTGGTGAAGAACTGACTACTCTCTAGTACGGCTTCTTTGGAATTCTTCGGAAACCATGGTTGACGAGCGATCAACACGCCAACCAAGAGAGAAAACACCAGAGCTGCAACTTGCAGCCGAACACACACTATCTGACACACACTGCCTTACCGCGCGTGTCGATGACGACTGTAAGTTAGGACAGCGGAAAATAAGGAAGAAGTGTTCGAAACCGAACGATATATGAGAAAAAGCCATCTAAGTACCTAAATGGATTTAATGGGATGCAGAACATCAAACCATTAGGACGGAACTGTCTTGCTCCACTCATTTTCTAAGTGGCATAAGTTCCATATCCTCTGGTTATCTCATTTTCTCTCCTTTTCTTTTCGATCACAAATTATAAAGAATAAAACAAGGCAGTTAGGTGTTATTTGTTCTCAGTACGCCAACTGAATCCCATCACAATGGTGCAAAACATTCGTAGTAATCGTTGTACCTTTAGTGATTATTTCATGGAAAAACTATTTAATCACGATCATAAGGTATACCATTTCTAAGCACGAATAAGGACCGTCAAGAGATGTTTTAGAAAAAGACTCTGCAAATGAGTGTTGAATAAACTGAATGAAAATAAAGGTTCGTTTTGTGAAGTGCACTTCATCCCGGAATTAGATGGCTTATACTATAACCATGAGAAACCACAAGTACGGCAATAATCAATTAATGGTGTAACGACTCTTCTTTCTCGCCGATAAAATGCCGAATCAGTTGAGTGGTTGATGTAAAGGAATTCGAACTGATCACGTAAACTCTCCCGTTTTTGGTACCTTGAGTTTTTCGAGAGTGATGTCGGATTTGTGTAGAGCGCGACCAGTCTCAATCTTTACTCCGATATCACGAGCAAGTTGAATTTCAAAATCTACTGCGGAGTATGGCAACCGAAATTGTGGGATTTCCGACGAGCTAAAAGCAATCACCTTAATTCAAATGCTTAGACATGCTAAACAACATTTACAATGGTATATGATTTTCTAATATAATACTCAACATGACGGATGTCCTCAAAAATATCCTTTGTTTGCGGTGAGTAAAGCAGTAATAAGCTTGGTATGGTAGATGTTTAATAGATTTTCTTTTTAAGAGGGTCAATTCGACGGTACCTTAGACCTCCAACGTATTGCTGTTTTTCGTATATCGTGATGTCAGTGTAGCCGAGTCTGGCCAAGAAAGACGCACACGATATGGAAGCTGGGCCACATCCTGGAATAGAAATGGAATCCTAAAAAGGGAGAGAGCACTGTTTCTTTGTTTCCTTTCATTCTCGAGAAATTCCACAATGACTCATCTATCAGAGCAATCTTAGTGCTGTGCGATTCGTTTCTGGTTTGTCGCACTTCCCTCGACACAATTTGGCGAACATTCATTTTCTTGAATACCTAAAATCATCCTTTAATTCGCTAGCTATTTAGCGCTGGAAGTGTTGCACAAAATTTGAATAAACAAGTAAATCAGCCCCAACTTCACAAATGCAACTTGATTTCTATGAACGGTAAAAAAATTCGAATAGCAAGGTAAACAGGTTTGTTTACCGGACGCGGAAATAATAGAAACTTCGCAATTCCAACAATTTACTACCTAGTACAGTTATCCAGTTAGTACAGTTATAGTACTGATTGATTGGCACTGAAATAGGCCAAGGATCCTCTCCTTAGAATTTTTATTACATAGACAGGTTATTTAAGAACATGCTCAGCTAACATGTTTGTCGACGAGTAAATGAACAAGCAAGTAGTAAACAGGTATGATACCTCGCAAGCAAATTGCTGCAGACCTGCGATGTTGATGGCACCCTCTTCGCTTGCATGCAGGTTACATGAACCAACACAGAGATCTGATGTTGGGCAGACCATGCCACAAGTTAAGCCGAGAGGATTGTCGCTGAGAATCTGACGAGCTGCACCATAATAATTCTGAATTTTTCAGTTTTGTAATGGACAGTTAACCAAATAGAGCTTCCAGTCCAGATTGCTCGTGTCACAGAACTGTATACCTTATTTGAGATACTTGTTATGAATGCTTTAACATCGAGTTGGGTTGGGCAGCTCTTCTGACATGGCGCATCGGCACACTTCAAGCACCTCAAATTCTTCTTATTTAATAGAAAAGAAGTAAATGTGTAATATATGCATATTTCGCTCCATTAATCGTTTGTTAAAGTTTCTGGTGCTGACTACTGTTTCCTCAGATAACACTCTTAAATCTTCGTGTGAGTTAAAATTTTGTCAATCAATTGAGAATGAGCTGATAGAGCAAAACATACCGCAAAGCTTCGCGTAGCGCTCCACGTTCACTAAGGGTTGTATGCTTGATATCTCTGAAGTCATTTGCTAGATCAGGGCTACATGACTGTAAGTAAACTGCTCATTAATAGTGATTGAATAAATGAAGAATAACCGGATAGGAAGAGAAAGATGTAAGGACTGAAAAGAAGACGCTTAAGTTCGTAAAAGAGGAAGTTACAAGAAAAACCCAAATGCAAATCGTAATTAGTGGGGTCCATTCGAGAAGCTATGAAGTGCATAAAAGCCATGACATATTGCCTATTCATTTCATGAACAAAAAAGAAGAATCAGGAATGCGCTCAATAGGTGTCTTTTCGTATAAAAAGGTACACACCTCGCAATTTTTTCCCGCGTTCCTTTTCCAGTTATGCTTGTTCATCTTGGTTTCGTAGCTGGGAACCACCTTTGCAAGGTGGTTCACTCTTGGGTTCAGTGCTAGTAAGGCCTAGATATGTAGACTTTTATAAATGTTGTTTTCAGCACTGCTGAAAGCGTATCCGAAAACACGGTTCTAGGTTTTAGACAAAACCACCCTTGAGTGAGATCAGTAGCTCAAACATATTATATTTTACCTGCCAAGGACTTATTTCAAAACAGAGAGAATAAACATAAAAAATAGTACTGTTTGAACACAACCAATCTTGCAAAGCAGCATGCACAAAGGAATGCAAAGTGGATTACACTACCTCGATGTCGGCAGTATCCTTGGAAAGTAGTGGAGGTGCCATTTGGGCACCGATAGGTCTCTGACATGGTCGACGGAGACACAGCACGATATCAGACCTGCAAACATGCGCGATCCTCGACGAAAGAATAGGCGTAGATCGGAGACGGCAGTGAAATCGCTATGCTCTCATGTCGAGCATAATAAGTGATAAGACATTACTGCCCATTAACCTCGATAAGAACAAAAAAATGCGAAGAGAACGGATTCTCGACAGAATGCACAGCCGTACACGTGAATTTTGCTGGCTAGTACGAGTCTGGTATGTGAGGAAGTTCACAGCCTCTTCAGATTCAAAATCGTCGCTTGCACGGTTTCCATGCTATTTTCCTACTTCGTTGAAACATTGAGAACATTCTTATAACACTAATGCATGAAATTAAGAAGTTAAAGTAGTGGACAAAGGTGAGGCGATGCCTCTTCGTCGCTGCACTCCATTGATTGAAACCTTTGGTCCACAGTTGACAGTACTCACGCTTATCACAGCGTTAACTATTTGCTTTCTATTGTTATTTTTGACTCAAGGGTATAATGCTCAACCACTATGATGCCGAGACGTTTTCAAAACTTGGGCCTAGGCCAAATTCCTGTAGAAAATTGGCTGAGAGAAAGGCAAGTAAGGCCCACAGTATTACAGTGGGTAGCACTTAAGCCCAGGGAAAGAGAAATCGTTGGTTTCGGAGCCAACCTAGTATCCAACTTTTGCAAATATCTCAGCACAATAGCTGTCGTGCTCACTTTTATGTTGGTGAAAGTGTTTACTCTTGAGCGAATAGCATTCACGAAGTTGATCGATTGAAGTGTTGCAATCAAGTGACTAGGACGGATCCTTGGAGTTACCCTCTAAAAACTAAGTGCAAGCTTGATTCTTGTCGACTCCATATCGCCTCAAGGTACAGCAGCCGATTGCGCATCCTCTAACCTTGGAATGAAACGAGGCTGTCTCATTAGATCAAATGATCCGATTTTCAATTTCATGAGAAAGAGATCACTTACAGGAAACAACAACATTGCAGTTTCTCATCAGTGAAGTTTCATCACTTTTATAGAGTCCAGTTTTTTAAGAGACATCAATGGCGGAATAAAAGTTCCTCTTCTTACACGTGGTGATGATTCATTATTCAGTAGTGGTGTCATAAACATGAGAAAAGCGAGTAGTAGACGAGCAGCTTGTCGCACATATTTAAATCGAATGAAACAGATGATAAGGACTTCTCCAATACCAGAACTTCCTAGATTGAAACTACTGCTTTAAGTTTTGCAGAGAAATCATCTGCACCTAATCAGACCTTGAGAGAAGGAAGGCTTCGTTTGCTTGGCTGTCGAACTACGTTTTCGGGCTATATGCTCTGGGTTAAATACAATGGAGAAAGCTAGAGGTAGTCTTGTATATGTTAACTGACCGCGCAGCGTGTTCCGATTCTGATTAGCAAAAGCCGATAGCATTCATAAACAGCAAATTAAATTTTTTTTTAATAAAGAAGTTATGGACGGAGATTGACTCATTGAGGTGGCATGGCTTTCTGTAAGTCAAGTTTAGGGCTGTGTTCACCTTTTCCTGTCGGGCACAAGAGTAGCTTTATGGGTTCTGCTCGCTCTATGGACTCATTGAGGAGCCTTCTTCTAGGCTTTTTGAGAAGATGTTGGACCATCGGGCCTGTACTGCAGTACGTTTGACATCACGAAGAATCCATCCACTAACGGCTCTTGGCTCTCAGTTGTCCTCGTTGAAGCTGGTCGGAACTTTGGATCCTTTCCCTTACTTACTGCATAGAAATGTGAACAGAATTATATGCCAAATTTATTATTATTAGTGACGACTTGATTATTCACGCTGGAAAAGTGGTTACACTTTATCCTATGTTACTTGAGTCTTATTCTTTGACGATTGATGACATTTGCTTTGGATTTGCAAGTGCGCCGACTGGGCCTTTCATTCTAAACTTTCATCAGCCCGCATGTATTGAAGAAAAATTTACTTTAAAGTGACCAAATTTATCTTATAACAACCACAATTCCTGAAGAAAACCATTTTTAGTTTCATATCCAGTTCATTAATGCAAAGTCTTAACATTTGCACTAAAGGCGTTTTCATGTTGCCAAAATGGTAAAAAATTTTCTCCTCCACTACAAACACTTGCTCATACGTTGGTTTTACACGCCGAATAGAACATGGATAAGGAATATCAACAGAACAAAGGTTATATGCTGTTAAGAAGCTTTGGATAACACAAAACAAAGGCCGACGATTGCCTGTGATGGTGATGACTTAAGCGAAGGCTTCGTTTAAACTGGCTTTAACACTCCAGAGAACCAAGTTGGCTAAACTAGCAAAGCTCCAGCCTCAGTACCCCGCACACTGGGCACTTCCCTATACGAAGTCGTAAGGTAAAACAACAAGTGAGAGGCGATAAAATCTCGGATAGCATACGAGGTTATTGGAAACGGATTACTCCAACACGACCACGTCACACCATAAAGACAACTTCTTGTTCTCCTCCTATAGTAGCAAAGCTCTCTTCAGTCACCGACTTCTACGCTCTTCTTGAGGCTGGTGACCGCATCAAATTTCATGCGATCGCCCTAAAAGATGCAAAAATCAGGAGAAACGACATACGGTAATTAGAAAACGGAGTTCTTGTCATCTGCAGGAGAAGATTTCCGTTGCGAAATGTCGGAGGCGTTGACTTTCTCGTACACTCACCTATTCTCCATCTAGTCACCTTATACGAAATGTTCGTCGTTGGCCAATTTTTAACTCCAACTTCAGCGTCAAAAAAGTCTGTTTCATTAACTGCCACTTTGCTACTTATGCAGCTGATGAAAACGAACCTAGAAATTGGTTGTTGGAGATTTCAATGGCGCATTAGGGATGGCCAACGAAAATGATTGGAAGATTTGGAATAGGAGAATGTAGTGAGAATGAAAGCAGTCATATAGGACTCCTGTCCGCAGAGCGTCTGTTTCAAAGGAACTCATTGCCGAGAAAAGAGTAAACCACCGAGGGACATGGGAGTATCTTAACGCTACAACTCATTCTCATATCGATCATGTTCATAAACAGAAAATGGTACCTGTTTGACAATTCAGTGCTCCGTGGATTCTTTGCTGGATAGGACTACCGCTTTCTCCATGCTAATACTCAATTTAGCTTTAAGCTGAAAAAATCCCTGTTTTCGCCCAAGAAAAAAAGTTCTATATAAGGACGATAGTCTTAATAAACCCTCGTCTTACATGAATAGCATATAAAGCAAGACCCTACCAAAGGCATCGAGATCTGCATATCGAAGGACCTAAAAGTTAAACCAAATTCTCAAACTCAGTCCCTCAAACAAGAAGATAAGACCGCATCTCCATTACCATTAAGTAGTTGGTCACAAAGTGAAGAAAACTGGCGTTCGATTCTAATGCAAGACCGTTAAAAGGGCTAGTAATAAATGCCAGCTAAAAGTCTTTGCACGGAGATTTGCTTCTGAACAGGCAGAAGGAAAGTTATTTGAAGCGGCTCAAAACCACCCAGTCTAAAAAAGTACTATTTGAATACTTACGACCATAATGCTTCGCTATCTGCTCTGATAATCGAATATGAAACTATCACAAAATCCTTCCATGATGTGCTGTTAATAACGGAAAAGTTCTATAACAATCTTCTCCGCTCCGCAACGCCGGTCTCGGACCTCGAATTCACCGTTAATAAAAGACCATCCAGAATTACACTGTCTGAAGTTCAAGTTCCGATAGAAAGCATGAAGACAGATATAGCTCCAGGACACGAAAATATTACTGCCATTTCACTCGAGCTGGTGGAGATGAATTACACGTGCTTCACACGACCAAAATGACCTTTCATCTTCAGAAAGGGAAAATCGCAGAGCAGTGGAAGAACTCGAGCACGGTCGTCCTAGTTGAGAAGGGTAACCAACAGGAGTCTGTCGGTCGGTGGTACCATAGACCCCTTGTCCTAAACTTTGTCGACTGCGAGAGAACGTTTGATAGCGTCAAATCGAATATAGCCCTATCAGCGCACCTCGACCAAGGATCCATCTCCTATACTAACACTAGCTGACTGTTATGGGAAATGCATCTTGAAATTTCACCAATTACAGCAACTCATTGCCATATCCATAGGGAAAGGGGTTCGAAATGCGACACAATATCGCCAAAGCCGTCACTGCCGTCTCACAGTTGATTATGAATTCACTCGATTGGGACGAGAAAGGCCTACGTACTAATGGAAAATTCCTATCAAATCTTCGTATCGCAGTGACATCGTCACATTTTAGGAAAGAACCAATAGAGCAGAGACGATACTCAATGAACTCAACGAAATGGTAAAAAAGATTGTGATGCGCCAGCATAGGGCGAAGACCCACTTCAGAAAGAAGTTATGGTGAAAAATGCGAACAAACGAAGGTGGAAGTTTGGTGAAAGTAGAGAACAACATGGAGGAAGTATTACAAAAAAGAAAAAGAGCAACACGTACCAACCACATTCGGGCCACTCTAAGAAGCCACCAACCAGTTAAAGGTCAGGAAAATGCGTGCTCACCTATTCGATTGAGCAGTCCTCCTAGCATTTTGTTATGCAGCAGCAGCGTGGGGTGATATTTCAACCATGTCAAAAAAATCCACGCGCCTCCCACAAAGTACTTGAACCATGTCTTCTTAATTTTAACCTATTATTTACTGCCTACTCTTTTTAACGGCAGGGTATATACTGCGAAATATAACTTTAACTTCATTACGCTTCCATGTGAATTCTGTGCCGTCGGTCTTCACGCGACATACTCAGTGGAAGACTCATAGAAAGCGGCTCTGAGGAAGGCGAAATCCGCCGAAACGCCAGCTTGTGCGTAAATAAAGAAATAAAATAGCACCTCGTGTTTGCTGAACAGAAGTAGAAAGATATATAACTTTAATGATGATCATTCCTTGTCAGATATCTCAACCGCTTTATTTCCTGCCCACTCTTTTTGATTGCATGGCATATTTCGAAATATAACTTTGATGATGCTGAGATATTTGCAATATTCCGGATCGCAGGTGTCTACGGTGGGGAACGAACGTGCTACTGCCCTTTCCGGGGAGTAACGCGTTCACCATTACACCATGCGGGTCCTTCGCTTCGCCTGTCTCTCAGTTAGTTCTAGCACGCGTTACTTCCCGGAAAGGACAATAGCGCGTTCGTTCCCCACCGCAGACACCTGGGGTCCAGAGTTTTGCAAACATCTCAGGATGTCTTCTTAAATTTCACAGGCACTCACAACGTCTAGCTGGAATGCTTAGCTCAAATATTAGAAATCTTTCTCATCTTAGCGGTCAGTAAGAATATACATCGATGGTGAAACACAGATAGGCTGGTCATATAATGACAAGAACAGAGGAAAGGTGCTCAGAAAGATCTGTGGAGTGGACTTCAAGTGAATGTATGTGTCCTCTTGGTGGACAACCTAGACGAAGCGCGGACGTGTTCGTGGCTATCGTCAACCATCTGCACTTGCAGACGGCAATGTTTTCAGGATTACGGAATGAGCCCCTCAGATGTCACCATCTTCAAAGCACATGATCGCCGTGAACGAAAATTGACGATAGAGAAACAGAGCGAACTTCTGCTGGGAGCTGGGAACTGCACCGCCAGTGAGAACGGGTCGTCCAAGTAGCCAAGTGAGAATTGATAATCTTCACTTTTTGAATCTAGTTGTGTTACTATTCAGCGAACAAATACGAAAGGTTCAGCATGTGCAGCGATAAGTAGCAGGGTTGGTTTTTCTACTTTCTAAAATATTTCTATTTCCTTCCAGTTGAACCTCGCAGAATCAGTTGAGGCGGTTATTTTCATATGTATGCAGATCATAGATGGAAAATGTTCTTCCTATAGATGTCCTTACGTCGAAGTTAAAGGAGAGTGGGAATTTGCGTCGGCGATCCTTAGCTGTTTTGTACACAATAGGTTCACGCGTTTAACGAAAGCATCGACCCATTTTGTGGCAATTTTACTCGTGATTATTTTTAACCCTTTGGAATCTTATTTAGCGCTAGTTTTGTTGACTTATTGTTTTTTTTACTAGGTGACCGATCCATTAATGTTTAGTTTCTGGAAATTGTTCTAGTGGATCTCGAAAGTGGAATATTGCTCGATCATCCTAGCTACAAAGACCAACTCGCCGTTGAGCGTGCCGATTAATCTTTCTGAAGACGTTACACGTGTTCCCCGTGTTTTGGAAAGTTCTTCGATATGACTGAGGCACCATACTATCATTCCGCTGCATAGCATAAAGTCGAAAAACTGTTTTGTTGAATAATTGAGCCCTTAATTGTAAATCAGTAAGCAGGTCATTGGCCTCTGTCAGAGGATCGAGTGTGGCTCATGTAATTCGTTGTCTTCTACCAAGTTCTTCTCCCATTTCGTTATTCGTATTCACTAAATATGCGACTCTCAGTTGGTAGTCAATTTGGGATGGCCTTTCCTTCTCCACACCATGTGTTCATCATGAACTGGGTTGTGGTCTAGTTTTTTTACCAGTTTCGTAGAGCTAAGTAGATGTATCCTCTGCTTCTGCGGTAGCGCTTCGAAATGGAAGGATGCTGCCAGTAAAACAAAGGTTGGAAAGTGCTAAATTTGTTACTTCTATTATAAAAACTCTATTTAAAAAACTTTTAACAAATAGAATTAAATCATACTGGTGTGCACTCTTCACTAGCTGAATATAACGTCACATGGTGTTCCACCAATCTTTTTTTGTAGATAATTAACTGTAAGCCATCAATCCGTTACCATTACTTTATCGCTTTAACGTGACATGATTAGGTTCTCAAACGGAGAATTGCACTGATTGGAGTTTATTACTCAAATACAACTGAGCATGATGAAGGTGAATTCAACGTATCCAGCAACTACGAGTGCCAACAACAGCATATGGTTAAGGAAACAGCACGAAAAAAAAATGGGCTAACCAAAGTCGGTCACTTACAACATTCCTTCTAAAAGTGTATTGCAGCTTATGGTGGAAAATGGATGCAAGTTAAATGTTTATCTGCATTGACAAAGCTCGTGCATTGCCCTGCTTGGCTCACATTTGTAGTTTCGCCTTGGTTTTGAATGTGAAGTTCCTCTTTCTAATAACTACCGTCGATCGTCCGACGGACAAATCTGTGTTTAACTGTTTGCATATGAATCTTTTGTCAGTTAGGCAAATCTGTAAAGAAGCCCTTGTTGGTCAGCTTTCCAAATGCGTGAAAATACACAAGTTTTTCTTCTTCTTCGTCCTAAAATTCTAAAACAGTGGAGAGAGTATCTGTAGATCCCTCTCAATTCCTATCGTTTACTTTTTTTATTTCAATAACTTTTGATTGGTAGCTCTCTTTCTTTCATTGAAGGTTTCATTTGCATGTAGTTGTACTCTGTTCATGGCATACGATAAATTCAAACGAGGGGTGTTCTGTTTCCAGAATTTCTGAAGAGATTACGATTTGTCGAGAGGAATAAAACAGTACTTATTTCATTGCAACTGTTTCTCCTGCATTAGTTATCATATGTATATATATATATATATATATTTACGTACGTATATATATAATATATATACATATATACGTATACATGTGTGTTATACATATACATGTACATACATATACATGTACATATATATACACACATACATATGTATTACACATACATACATGTACATAGGTATATACATACATATACATGTGTATTATCCATAAATACATGTACGTACATATATATGCATATATAATTAGCTTGATTTGCTGCTTTGTGTGTCATCTCTCATTTCACACATGAATGGATGACGGGAAGTGTTTGGCATTAGAATTCATTAGTTAAGATTTAAATCTTCTAAAATGCGTCAGGATTACTTTTACGAAAGAATAGTGTACTCGACACTAAAGCCCTTCTGAATTTTTCCACCAGCTTTCTTGAGTGAAGTTTGCGTCAAATGCATTCTCGAATGTGTCACCCGATAGTGGTCGGCTGGCAGAGCCCTAAATTATAATTCATTCAACTGCACATTTCCTTATTAAGTAGTGAAGACTACTTTAAAAACACTATGAAAGAGCAATTTGTGTAGTTTCAAATCTGACTAAGGCTGCCAGATCTTTTGAGTTTCTGAAATGAAAGAATCCCTCTGCTTCAGAGTGTTCTACTTGCTTGATGTAGAAAACGGAATTCATTTCAAAAATATGCCCAGTTTATTACAAAGAGGTTCGTTAGCAAAATCGATGAAAGATGGAGAACAACTTTTTACGCTAAAAAATGATAGAAGCGCCTTGTTTGGTATTGCAGCTTGAGCAGAAAAAAATGTTTACAGAAAAATGCAACATGTTCCAATGAGGTGCCCTCAAGTTGACTAAGAAGAATAGAGTAAGAGGATGGGAACACAAGTGAAGAACTCACAATTTTCATTGGCTCAGTTTGATCAAACAACATAGGCGAATTTTGGATGATGAGAACTGTTCCGACGACGTTAACGAAGGTGAATACGATGAGTACCAACCTGTCGATAACATTTGCTACATATGACCAGTCGGAAGATATCTGAAAAGTCAAACATGAACGCATGTAAATATCGGAGTTAACGTGCTTTCCAAGAGATCAATACTTTATTATTTTTATTTTTAGAAGGAATCTTTCAATTTCGGGATTTCGTATTAGACATGTGGAATAGAACCTATAAAGAGTGAAGCTGATCGCAACAGCAAAGTTTCTTAACATGAAAAACAGTAAAAATTTTCACCTGGAAGCAGAGCTAAGAGTGAACTAATGGTAGCAATCATAGCAGTCCTAGTAGCAAACTAAATGCACGATGACTAACTTTTTCATGCTCCTCATGGTTTGACCACTACCCTTTGACACCCTAGACCCTCTACCTTCAAACAAACTTTAAATTACATAAAAAAAAAATAAGTAACTTATCTTGCAATAGAAGAGCTTCAGTATTCACAGCACTGAGGAATTCCGTTAACAAGAATGGATGCAAAAGCAACCGCTGACAGGCAATCAAATGTAGCATAACATGTCACTAGAATAGAGACAAAACAACAGGTTAACGGTTCAACGGAAACTGTTTCCGTTCAGAATCTGTGACATTGGCCCACCATGATCAGACATCGACCTTTTTATCGAGGACTCAGGGTTTTGTGTTACAACATATTTTATAGTGGTCGCCCTACTAAGTATACAGAACAGCACCGAAATGCGCCAGTAAGACAATAGGTCCTTTGTTATCATGAAGAAAAGAATCTCTCCCTACATTCACATCGACTTGACTTTGTTAGTCATCCTTCTGATGACTCAACTTTTGAATGATCTCTTACCTCCCAACGGTTTACCGCCTCGTCGTGGCTGGGAGGTGTTCCTGGGTGTCGGACTGCGATGTACAGCGGAGTGACTCGTCTCCCGGCAGGGTCTCCCAAGCTGAGAAGAAGTCCGGCGTTTCCATCAGGAAGCTTAGCTAAGAGTAAACCAATACCAGGGTCCACAAGCGTCTTGGTATCAAAGTCGCATGGTGGTGAATCTCCCTCTGATCTACAAGGACAGCGATTGCTTGTCGTGGTAACGACCTGGGGCAGACTTCGGCCAGGATGTCCTCGGGATTCCACGGAACCACAATGGCTTAAACAGCAAATCTCCGAAAAATGGTGACTATGCTGGGGCTCGTACAACTATTGATGACGGATCGTTCAAGTATCAAGTAAGAAATCTCTTTACTTCGTTAGGTCAACCCAGATTTTTAACACTAGCATCAGATATTGATTATTGTTGTCATGAAAAAATCTCAAAAAGAGTTTACTTAGAGCACTACCATCAATATTATCGAAAATTGTTAGAGTGAAGTATTTCTTTATGACTTGTAATCAGTGAGGACAGAATCACCAAAGCCGCCCACGGTATAAAAGTGATAATGGGGAATGTGTACTGTAATAGTTCTAGTTTCACATTCCAGACCACTCCAAAATCTGTGATTTGGAAGAACAATTCGGAGCGTTTTTGTGAAGCACGACTTGCAATTGATATCGCGGAGAGAAGGACTTCTACAGAAACAAGGAACGATAGAGACGCCTTAGTTGGAGCTGAAATTCACAAACTACACGGATGCTTTTGGCAACAAAAATGACACTACATCTCCATAGGTAAAGGAACTCTGACCAGTGGAGGATCGATATCCTGTCATAAGAGAAAAGCCGAAAAAATCATTGTCACCGCCGTTCAGTATGCTTATTCAGTGCGATTTACAAACTTTTCACAATGACTAAGTTACTGCGCATATCGAAAACTTCTGAGTAAGCGCAACCAGTTCAAGTAGCAGTATTCCGACAGTGATCTTGAGAGAGCAGGGCAATATACTTGTAAATGTGTTTAGCCTTGACGAGAAAGAAAGGCAGAAAGTGATCGTTTGTGAAAGAATAAAAATAAGACCTCAGAGCCTTGTTCTTCAAGGAGCTTAATTTATAGTAACTTTGAACGTTACTAGCACATAAAGGATGCTAAAATTATTATGAATTTTTGGGATAGGAAATTATCGAAGACATTTCACCGTGATTTATGCCTGCCCTGTTCACAGACTACCATAGGAAGCTTCCACTGAAAGCGTAGCAATGTAAGCTAGACGAAATGGATTACTGAAGGCATTCAACATCGGCTTTAAGAAAGTAATTATTAAAACCCTCTTCGTTCGGAGTTTCAAAAAAAAATGTTGTTATTCTCAACAGTAAGAAAGAGTACCACACATTTACTCATTGCTTTCACAACAATACCAAGAAACAGTTTCAGTTTGAAAATCACCAAGAATGAACTCTCAAGCAGATATGTTAGCGTGGATCTGAAAGAACCGAAAGAATTTTTAAACGTACGTCCGAAACGTTACAGAAAACTGGTGATATAAGGTATATAGGCAGAAAGAGCAACGGTACTGGATCGATCCACAGAGCTGATAAAGGACACTCTCAACGTCAGCAGGGACGCCAGGAGACACCTAGAGACTCGGAAACTCGTTTTATTTAAGAGGACAATAGAGTCATTCACGACTGCCTTTCTGATATTTTGGTAGGTGCGTCTACCTACTACCTCAACAACAACAAAACCGTCCTTCTAATTGCCTTTTGTTTCGGAATTCGATATACTACCTGGTCGGCAAATAACCGAGTCCCTTTCGATCTCCGTAAAAGACGGTTCTCTCTCTATTTTTCACATACACAAAGATGTACACCTTCCAAATCTGTTAAAATAATGAGAATCAGTTAAAGCTTTGGGAAATTTAATCAAAAGCTGATGTAGAAAGCGCTTAGTGAAAGGAGATAACAAGCAGGTACAACACATTCGCTTTCTTGATGCCACTACTGATCGTGCTATGAAGAGATTGATTCTAGGATATCCAGCATCATCACAAATGATAAAGAAAACTTAGAATTTCTATAAAGCCTATGGACAGAGTTCTGGAATGCTGCTGCATGCGGTAACAGTTGACACAACGATAAACGACAGAAAAACTGATATAAGTGAATGCAGTAAATACTAATAAAAATTCTGTTCTTTCGATTTTTGGCTGGAGTATTTTAAAGTGGAAAATCGATCATGCCATTTTTTCTATTGTAGGAATTCGTGCAACGTAAGTTCACTATAAATGAGTACAAGCAATCGAGGACACTCGATTGATAGTTCAACTGGCGATCCGTAGTTCCCATACGTAACTAATATTTTAAAAACGTTGCATCTTTCGAGTATTCAAAGCTTTTTTTGAGTTCTTGACTTAGCAATTCATAGGACTCTTTAACATCTTAATGGAAAGCTCCCAGAATTCACCTTCTATTAACCTCGTCATTGGAATATGAATGAGTCGTTTTCTTGTTCAGCAATCGCGAGATTGTTAAACAGCATACATTTACTTCCATAAAAAAAACACAATATAATGCAACAATAGCTGACGTTTCGGAATTATCGCCTTCTTCAAAGTATAGTACCCAGTGTAAGTAGACAAAGTACTCCACTAGGCACGCATAGGATACGAAGGCACGGCGGAGACGATTTTGAGGTAAAGGTCAACATCCTTGCTCAGGAGAGTAAAACACCAGCGCGGAGACTTTTTGAGGCTTTTTGGATAAATGCCAAAAATCCTGCAGTGAATAGCAGGGATGAATGCCCAGCGGTCATACCCGACCTGACCCCGCATGTTCGCATCAATTTCTGATGTGGGATGGTGCAGTCGTCAACCACATGCGACTATAATCAGCTGTTCTAAACTTCCTCATTGGAAGTCACGAAAAAGCGGTGGGTCTTATCGAGAAGTTGTTGATCATGTAGAGTTTTTCCATAAAGTTTTTCGCTTTTTTGTAAGTGTTATTGAAGAGTATGGCCTAGTAGATTGTATATCAGTATACCCTTCCAGGCTCTGAAGAAGGCGATACTGCCGAAACGTCAGCTACTGTTGTATTGTATTGTGTTTTCTATGGAAGTTAATGGAAAGTGTTGACGTTTGTGAAAACGACTCAACAGGCACTTCGAACTGCAATCTGTTGTGTAAGAACAACTGAAGCTGAAATTTCATTCACGTTGCGCAACAATGACTAAGTATATCTGAGCTATCTATGTATAAAAAAGCGCGTGTGGCGCAGCGGTCGGAGGAGGCCCGCAACACACACGTGGAATCAATCTCCGTGCCCATGGCACACCAAGCCTTCCGTTCCTCCGGAGTCGGCAAATTGGTACCAGACTTGTCTGAGAGGATAGCAGCACTGGTTCGATACATCGCTAGGCAACCACGAGTCATTGTAAAGACCAGATATGCATTCAATCACCTCCAATGGTGGTTAACGAAGTCGAATGCATGGCACATCCCTCACGGATTAATCAATGCTGAGAGTTTTATCCCTTGTCCATTATCCTCTGTATCCAAGTATATTAATTTCAATATATATATATATATAACATATACAAGGTAAGTAAAAGAGTATCCAATTATACAAAGCCTTCATGCATGTTTTTGAAACATGGCATAATGCCACAAGTTTAATCAACACACCTTGTCTTCCTTTTTCATCGCTTTGAAATGATCTGCAATAAACGAAACATTGTCGATCATCCTTCTAATTAAATCGGGGTGCATTCCTCGAAGATGGGCGAGCTGCGACAGTCTCATCTTAAACTTAAGAATTCATCAAATGCAATGTTGAATTAACAGGTTATATGGCCGAAGAAAGTTTTTTATACATATAATAAATGCCCTCCTAACGGTTTACCGGCTCGTCGTGGCTGGGAGGTGTTTCTGGGTGTCGGGCTGCGATGTACAGTTGGGGATTCATCCTCTGGCAGGGTCTCCCAAGCTGAGAAGGAGTCCGGCGTTTCCATCAGGAAGCCTAGCTAAGAGTAAACCATTACCAGGATCCACAAGCGTCTTGGCATCAAAGTTGCATGGTGGTAAATCTCCCTATGATCCACAAGGGTTGCCACTGTCTGTGATGGTAAAGACCTAGGGCAGGTTTCGGCCAGGCTGACCTCGGGATTTCAGTGAACCACGATGGCTTAATCATCAAATCTCCGAAAACGAAGATTATGCTGGAGCTCGCACATCCAGTGAGGACGGGCCATTCAAGTACTAAGTATCAAGTATAATAACTGAAAAATACCAAACAATCTTCACTTACCTTGTTGAATCCTCCCCTGGTTCGCTTTTGCCCATCTTCGATCGAGGGCGGAACGGCTAAGAAGTATGGAGAAGGACGACGAGACGAGTCAAGGAATTGACCGATTTATAAAAAGCACCTTGTTGAGAGTAAGCTAAGATTTCAGAGACAAATGATATGGGCTACACTGAGGAAAACAACAATCAAAACAAAATTTTGTCCCAAGTGACAAAGATTGCGTCGTTTCCTTTTTTACCAACTTACAACAAAGACGTTACTTAGCTTTTCAAAACGCCGCTGCGGAACTTAGGGTTCATGTAATTGATTTTTGTTCATGAGAATGAATGATTGCGAGCAGCTACCTGAACGGAGAGGCTACATTCTGCACTTCCGAGTAAATCATCACTTTCCTTTTGGTTGTTTTGGGAATATAAATTTTGATTTCAATCCCGTGGAGACCTACCATCACATTCCAGTCCCAGGTTTAAAATTTGTTTAGCAGAGAATGCGGACTTGTGCAATCACTTGCGGCAATCAGCCGTTGGCAAGTTAATGTTTTCTTGATCGCAGTAAAATCCCGCGATATAAAAAAGATGGAGAGGTAGTTTAAACAAGACAGAGTCAAAAGAAAATTTGTGCATGATCGAATGATTCATATGTGTACCGTGTAGCAGCTAAGGAATCTCAATATAGCTGGGAACTTTAGGAAGCTCGTACGTGTACCGTTTACTTCAGTTGTTTTATTAATCATGAACTCTCGGAACACATGTAGCCTTCACTCGTTCCTATCCCACGTTAGAATTTTTCAACAGGCTTCGTTTCCACGAAAGATAAAATAAGCATCTTTTGTTCGCGTTATTGCCCTTTAATTTCGTTTTGTGTCCGGATTGTAGCCAGTGATAGCTGTTACATGGAAACTGTGTCACGAGTGGCGTGCCAGATTCTCCTAACCGTATTGAGGCGTATTTGGCATAGGCAACCCCAAATCTTCCCCAGAGTTCTTTCCGATGACATTGATGCTCGTTTCTGCTTAGCATGACATGGTTAACATTCCTTTTATTAACTTGTATTTCAAAACATGAATGAGTTGCAACACTCACATACCCGACGTGCTGCTTCCGCGGTCGCTAACCTCATCCTCTTCCGCTTTTTTAATGCCAATGTATTTTGGAAAAGTTTCTATGAACACTGCTTGCATCCAGTGAGGCATTGGATGTGCAGATCCATCTCTAGAAAATTTACAAATCCATTTCTGTACTGCTCAACAAAGCTATCAAAATGCATACCGTCTGTAGTAATTTAGGGAGAGCACTGATAGCAAAATCGACATGGCGACCAGAAACATCGTGAACAGAAGGTATCTGCCTAAATTTAGAAAATTATGTAAGGTTGGGAACGAGAATTATGGGATGCAATGGGAAATCCACCCACCGATGAGGGGAATTACAAGAGACGTAGGTGGGATCAGTTCGATCAAAACCAGGTAGAAAACTGTGAGCGATACCAGTATCGAAATTGAGAAGGTCATTTTGTGTTCAATAGGTGGAATGTAGAATACAAAGGTCGTCAGAATAGCTAAAATAGGCAATTATTTGAGAAATTAGCTTTCTCATCAGTAGAACGACAAGATAACCGTTATCCTGTATCCAATCTCCTTAAAGTATTCACAAGCCAGTCAAATAATGAAGACTTTATGTGCAGAAGTCGGATTCATCGAGGAAACAGTTTTTCAAAATCACTGAGTGAAAATGATAAGAAAGGAAACACCGTCGGGCTTAAGTATAATACAGTTGCTGAACTGGAATAATTGGGCAGTGCTTGTGATATAATCCACTTCACTCTTTCTTTCAATCTTGGGATTTCTTATTTCAGTGTCGAGATCGAGTCCATAAACAGCCATGCGTTGATTCTTCATTTTTTTCAAAGGCGATTTTTGACTGTCGTCAAGTCATTGAATGAATTAAACTTCTTGATAGACTTAAACACGCTAATGGAAAACTCTTATAGAGTTGCCAGATTTTTGTTGAATTACCCTGACAAGAAAATCAAGATCAGAATCAAAAAATCAGAATCAAGGATCAATCAATCAGTCAAGAAATTTAATGTGCAGAAGATAATTAGCTAACACGCTTTAGATGAAAAAGGTCCGAACCATAACTGGCATCAAGGTGATCCTGAAGGAAACATGTGAAATACTTACTAGGTAAAATAGTTAAGACCGTGAACACTGTGGCGAACATATCTTGCTCAAATGAAGAACTTCGATTCGCGGCTTCAGCATAGCTAAGTACTCATATGAAATACAAGGGGGTTTAAGTGTATTTAGTTTAGCTGTAACACAGACTATAGCTATACTTCTACAGAAGCTTTTCATAGAGCTCATTCTGCGGGCAGGGCACACGTCAAGATCTGAGAATTATAGATCAGGCTAAACCAATGAAGCAAGTTTAATTCTTTCAGAAATCTTGTGTGACTACATTGAACTGTAATGGTTCTTAGGAATATGCTGAAAAGCGTGCAGACGAACGTTATACAACCAACGTTTCACGTTTTATGTTGAATGGAAGCCGATAATGAAACTCATTAGGATAGACAAATCTCTGCTATGAAGGCACAGTACGTTGTAGGCTTGTTCATATCGGCGACGCACCCAACAAGGCTCATGCTCAGAAATAAGAAGCAGATCCCAAACATGCTGCAGTCCACAAAGCATGCCCTATGCCCTCCTGACGATAAACACAATGAACGAGTCAAAGTGAACAGATGGAAACTGTTGGCAAGCCATCCCAACCGTGACTGCGCACTGTCCGAGTAAGCACGTATTACGAAATTTCAAAGGCAATTTGCAAAAATTTTGTTATTGCAATCGTTTATGATCTGTTATTTTTATCATAACATAGGTGTCTTTAGGGAGGATAATAGTTTTTTCTGTGAGCACAGAGAATGTTTGTACGTGAATTTTATTCCTCTGTGGTAGCATCAGCAAGTCTAAGCCTTCCAACGGAAAAACAGTGCTTTTAATCTAATTTAAACTTTTTTCACTTATAGTGTGGTAAACGGTTTCACGAGTGTAGGGAGCGCAGGAGTTAGGAATGCTGTGCAGCACAAATACAATGGATCCGACTCCGCCTCGGGCTCACCGATCTTTAAATTCTTGCGCAGTCAGCATATTGGTACCAAGCCGAGCCGAGAAAAGTTTTCTCCGACTGGCAATGACTGTTTGCCATGAAGATTTAATGGAAGAGGCTTGAGAGTGCTTTACCAGCGCTATACCAGGATTATAAGGAGACTTAGTTGGATCCGCACTGAACAACATCCACGAAGAGGATGAAATCCTCAAACAGTGGGAGACCCAAGCACAAACCTAAACGAATTCGTGGATGATGGATGCTAGACAACGAAAGAAATGAATAAGTGCTAGAATTCGCAGTCGAATAGTGTGTGTTCTCAGATCACGCAATTAGTTAAATAAACAAATGAGAAAATAATTTTTCATTTTATCTCATATGACCCGTTTTCACATCTACTGTGCGGATCCACATCCAATTCCTTTCCTAGGATCCATCGTCCACAAAGGTCTTTCAAGTTTTTAAGTGTGGCTTTGGTTGACGCTTGAAGATATTCATTTCACCTTGAATGTCATAGAATGCTGGTCGAGCAGTTCTCCCTGGAGTTATGGAGTTCTAAGATAGCCGGGCTGGAGAGTTCCTAAATGTATTGCATTGCAGCGAGTAATTTTTTCTCAGAGAAGTCCGGCACCAATTTCTCGACCCCGGAGGTATGACAGGCTTGATTGGACAGCAGCGGGATAGAACTAGCACCATGGTCGTGGTGACGGGTTTCACTAGCACTGTGCTACCCGCCCAATATTATTATTTTTTAATTGCTATTATTATAACTGTTGTCAACATTTCAGCAACGCAGCTGATATGAAGGTAAATTCCGATATAGAAAGCTACTGTATTTCGATCAATAACATTTGTTGCTGGGCAAGAACGAAACATAAGCCAGTAAATAAACCATTTGAAAAAGTTGGGTCTTCGTGCTTTCTGAAATCGAGCCTATCCTTATTGAAAAGATAGACGTTGCCTGACCTATAAGCATGCATGGAATAACCAAGTTGACCGTGTAGAATAAAGTTTTCCTTCTTAAAGCGATGTCGAACGTGACGTCAATGTAGAAGTCTTGTCCGCAACAACCTGGGTACAGTTGTTCGTGGCGCTGAGAAGTTAAAGACATGAGGTCCCACTCAAGGCTTCTGAAACTCGTTGTGAACAAGATGTAAGATCGAATAGCGACCTTCCGACATAATCTCTATAGTTGAACTATAGTAGATAATTATTTCACTCTTGGTAAATTTAAAAAGGTTGAGTAAGCAGTCATGTAAGCGAGCTTCTACCTACTTTTCTACTATAAGTGTAGTGCGGTAGCGCAGCGTGAAAAAAAATCTGATATACATATAGTACTTGGGAATTAGTGGGAAACTAGCTTGTGCAAAATATTTAACTTACTGATAGAATCCGGACAAATCCATGCCCTTTTCAAGGTACTGATACTCTTTTCCACTCTCGTCTTCTCGATTTATAATGGGGGAGTCGGCAGACTAAAAATGAACTTCTCTTCACAGTGCAGCAAGTAGAAGAGAAAAAATAATTTCATAAACATCATGTTTGTAGTAAATAAAGGGTGATACAAATTTATTTTTTTATTTCATAAAATTCAATCGTATGTGGTTCGATGGAAAGAAAAGGAATTTATGAAGAAAAACGGACCGGCAACTGGCGTACATCAAGGAGAAAACCGTTGTAACTCCATCCACCGAATTTGAGCGAACAAGACTGGGAATCGTAAGGAAAGTATTCGATATTTATAGGACAAAATGATTTATAGATGCTCGGTGGCTTCCAAACTATAAGACCGTTGTGGTAGACAAGTGCATCGCTCATTATAGTGATGTGAGGTTCCCCATCCGCACTGAAATATGGTTGCATCGAGGTTATCTTCTGTTCTCAATATCAGTCATTGACATGCCATTTTCCCACGGTATTTCCAATTACCATCGGCTACGAAATTTTTCAGCTATGAACTCTCACTCATCAACTTTCGTTACCAGCTGTAGAATTCACGGAGTCGATTATTTTCAAATGAACAGTCTTGGTACCTTGTTAAGTCATACAAAAGTCTGGGAATAAATTAAAAATCGTCTGAAGTTAAATTTCCTCAATTCGAAATTTTATAAACGATATAACATAGGCATGATTGTTGATTTACAAGTAGAAGTGGTTCATAGCAACTACAACAGACGGTTTTACATATGTAAATTTTCCTATAGCACTGATGAGCAGAAAACTCAGACAGTTTCAAGTCCTAATGACAAGAAAGACGAAAAGCCGGGAATCCCAACCCATAGAGGCTTAGGTGTTTCCACGAACGCTACTTCAGTTGTAAACGATTTTCTCAGAAAGTTTCAGATATCTCATGCTTTATGAAAGGTTAACAACCACTCAACAGGGTGCCACACTGCGTACTGTCAGTTAGAGGTTGCAAGCAATAATACGGACCTTACACGAGGCTTGTTCTCGAAAGCGAAAAAAGCTGGCTACTCATACTGCGAGTATTCATCTTACATGATGGCTTTCTACATAGTTGTTTCTACGCAAATACACCCTAAATTTTTTTTTGGTGTGACTCATAAAGGTGGCCCCTTTGTGCTTGTCACAGCTGCAGTCTCACATGAGACTGTTACACTATCGTGTGTTGAAAAGTCAAAAATATTACTGTTTCTGTTAGCTAAAAATCCTGATATTATCTAAGCTAGTCTTATCCCTACGGTATGTCAAGGTGTTATTGGCTACATTTGTGCCATGTATTTGATGCCCTATTTTGTTATGTTCACAAATTTTCTGATCACTCACGACCATGGAGTTCTGTTTAATCCTCTGTTTTGCACTGATGATGATAGTAGAAATTCACTTGTTGTACAGAAGTATGTCCGGGATCCAAATCTGATCCGATGGTATATGCAGCTTCTTTATTCCACCCCAGCGTGTTGGATCCCAGGAGAGTTTGTAGTCAAACCACTGCATTTCCAGCCATAAATTCGTCGTCAGTACTTGGTTGACTTCATCCTAAATGTGCATTACAAAGATTTGGAGATGTCTTTTTGGGAAAATATGATATCCATATCAGTGCTTGGGTCGTAAACCAGTGGGATTTGCAAACAGATTCTGTCTGCTACGCTGACACAGCCGTCTTTACCAACAATTGGGTACTTTTCTGGTACAAAAAGAGGAATGAAAGAAATTATATTGCCAAAGTTCACAACTAAACTCTTTTTAGAAAATCTTCTTTCCACGATTGATCAGTAAGTCGTTTATCAATCACAATGTTGACTACTAAATGCTTGCTCTCTCCTCAGAAGTTGAGTTAGCAGTGGGAAGATCCACATTAGTTCAGTAGCCTTTACGTCTAGTACTTCTGGGACTACAACTGAAAACGAATTTCTATGTAAGTTTCTTCTACAGAATGGAAAATACCAGCAGCTACAAGCGAGCGGTGAACTTCTCACTTATGTTATCTGTGTGTTCTACTTTTATTGCAGCTTTTATTACTCCGCCATTAATCTTAAAAATCGCAGAAACAGCTTACATCATCAACCAGAGAACTCAGAACTGCAAGGTCTTGTCCAGATGTGTTCGCCGTTTAATTGAATACGACATTAAAACATTTTACAGAAGTGCAAAATTTATTTGTAGAAGCGAATGTATCACCTGTAAGACACGGGGATATTTAGGACGATTGTGCAAGTATGGTTTGCTCCATAAGAAAAAAAGCAGTTTGAGCAAGAAAACATGTTTCTAGCAATGCGTCTTCATCTGCTTGGCAACAACTACGGTCGACTAAATGCATGCAATGATACCTTAGCACCTTCACAACTGTCAGTCTGTAAAGAAATAATGTAAAGTTGTTTACAAAGCGCAAAAATGGAATGCATTTGCACACCAATATTTGGGAACGTCGTCTACGCATGTTCGATTACCTTTATAATGCCATAAAAGTTTCTGCTAAGCATCCTTCCTATTCAGTGATTCATAGTTGAGCTGTTGTGATGCCAAGTGGAAAAACTTCAGATGGGGAATGCTGTGATGAATACGGACTGAAACCGATAAGTGGCTGCCTTGAGAAGTAAAACCAGGTGGATTCAACGGAAACGATTTTCCTCTGTGCATTAGAGTGACGCTTCTATGTTTGTAACCATTCAGGAATACTGCGCGAGTGCGCGCCCAAGTGTGTCAATGCACCGTGAAAGCCGATTCTTCCAGGAGGCTGTAATTAAATAACAGAGAACAGCAGCCAAGAGTTGCACCAAGAAATAACCTTTACGCTTGCTCCAGCAAAAGATGGTAGGCTACTCATTGATTGTAGGATAAAAACGTCTTAGCAAAAAAAGGAAAATATTTTTGCTAGCAACGCCCTCTTATGCACCTGCTGCAAACGGCTGAGAAACACTTCATGACTTTATTGTGAGTACGATAACATCTGCATGGATCTCCATTATATGAGGGATCTCGAGCCGGCTAGACGCGAGGCTATGTGGCGCGTTACCAAGTGGCGGATAGGGGGTTAATCGAGGACCGAAAGCGAGCTTTGCTTCTCTGAGACGCAGGTGGATCCAGGGCATGGACTTCCTGTTTCTGCTGCGCTGATTTCGCACATACTTTCTGTATTTGCTAGGGGTATTCATGCATGCGTGTGTGGGTGCGTTCTCGCTTATTTGGCTTGCATTCTACGAGTCAATTCGGTCAAACGTCTGCAATCAAGTGACTGGGAAGTATATGGAAGGCGGTTAGGAGTCTCCTCCAACAAATAACCTCCATGTCCACTTTGGGAGAGCCTGGCAAGCTAACCGTGAGTACACCCAGCTCCACGCTCAGAGCCCAGTAACCTATACGTGGGCATAAAAATACTAAACACAGTTTAAAAAACGGGCCTAATTTCTCTGACCCCGGAAAGAGCCCTCGTTTCTGCAGCATTGGGTAGGACGAATACGGAGAGGCTGCTAAAATCTCAGGACTCCAATAGATGCTGTCTGGATTGTAAAGAACTATGGTGACAATCTCTACCTACAATGCACGTACACTTACATCCGAGTCCTCGATAGAAGACTTGCTCGTGCAAGCAAAAAGGATGAGGTACGGCGTCATCGGCCTGACCGAGACGAGACGACGCCACCCATTCAAAACCGTCTATGACACCGAAGAAGAACTGTTCCTCATAACATGCGACAATAGAGGAGTCGGCGGCATCGGCGTTCTCTCAAGAGGAGTTTGTCCATGAACATCGATTCATTCGAAAGGCTTACAACCCGAATCAGACGTTTACGATTAAAAAGATGTGGATCAATACCGGCTTTGACAATCTTCGTCGTTTACGTGCTGTCATCAAACCATGATAGAAAGAAAGTCGAAACGTTCTATATGGACTTGGAGAGGTTCTACAGAGAAGACCATACATTCTTCAAGATAATTATTGGAGATTTCAACGCTAAGATAGGACCAAGAAGAACGTCTGAAGAACGTCACCTTGAGATCCACGGATTAGAATGGAACGAACAGGGCAAGCGGCTATCTGAGTTTATCATGGCGATCAGGACCATCCATGATAACTCGCAATTCCAGAAGCCCCACCCTCAACGCTAGACGTGGGAGTATCCCAATGGAGAATACTATAACGAAATAGACCATATCGTGGCAAATAGAAGGTTTTGTCTAGCCGATGTTGCTGTTGTCTCAAATTTCTACACGAGATCAGATCACCGTATCCTTCGTGCAAGATTCTAGTTATGGCGAAAGGAAAAAAGAAATTCAAAAAAAAATTCAAATTCAAGAACCGAATAATTCTTCGTATTTTTATTGAGAGGTCTCTACGTGACATACTTAGTGGAAACCTCTTAGAAAGCGGCCCTGAGGAAGGCGAAACCCGCCGAAATGTCAGCTTATTCGTGAATAAAGGATAATAACAACTCGCGTTTGCTCAACAAAAATACGAAGAATTACTTGATCAATGCCGAGGTTAATAGAAAGTCGGTAGTGGGAGTTACTCAAAAACCAAAGTCGCAAAACCAACGTAAACTGGGTCTTATTCAAATCATTAGGCTGCTGTTGGGAAGATGCCGTTGTCGATAACATAGGCGAAGAATACGATCGGCTCATTCAACATCTTAGCGTTAGCGCTATGAAAGCTCGGAGTTCGAAAGACACTAAGAGACGTCTGTCTTCTGAATCACTCGAGCTGATACGCCAGCATGAAATCGCACGAGTTGTAGACAACCACGCACTTGCAAAATAATGCAGACACGCGACAAAAGAAGACCTTAAAAAGAGAAGAGCAGCAGTAACGGTCGAAGCTGCAGAGGCTGTGAAAAGCATTCGCAAAGTCCACTGAAGCTTCACCAATCACAAGACCAAGACGATTGCACTCCGACGCCTAGAAGGAACAGTCCAGTTACGTCCAGAAAGGCAATAGAGAAAATCATTCACTAATCCAACTCGGATCTTTTCGATAGCCATGTTCACCTTCAGTCATATGAAAAAAAAATAGGATGCACATATTGCACCACCGGTACTCCCGAAATTCGCCATGTCATTTCTCGGTGAAAAATCGAACAACACCAGGTCCGGACAGGATAAGATCAGAACACCTGAAAAACCACCCGCCAGTCCTCGTAAACGAACTGCTCGGCTCTTCACACGTTGATAAATTACAATTACAAGACCAAAATAATTGCACTTCGGCGTTCAGAAAGGCAATGGAGAAAACCTATGACTGAATGCAAGGTCCTTACTCAGTGAAGACCAGCAAGACCGTGCTTCTGTTCAAGAATGATGACCTGCACGATATCGGCAACTATTACCCAATCTGCTTGCTGTCTGTCGTCTACAAACTTTTCACTCGAGTCATCCTAAGCAGTATTGACAGAACACTGGTTGAAGGGTGGCCATGTGAGCAAGTAGGGTTTCGAAACGGTTTCAGTACGATGGACCACATTCACACGATAACAAGGCTTATTGAAGTATCACTAGAAAACAAAAGACCGCTCTGTCTCACTTTCACCGATTTACAGAAGGCCTTTGATTCAATTGAGATAGAAGTAGTTATGGAAGCCCTTGATAGTCAAGGAGTCCCTAGTCAGTACATAGAGGTTCTTCGTAAGTTGTCCAAAATTTTCGCAACCGAGATATCACCATTCTTGAACGATGTTCACGTTGACGTCAAAAGAATAGTTAAACAAGACGATACCAACTCGCCAAAATTATTCACCGCCACCCTCCAGAACGTCATGTGAACATCGGAATGAGGTAACATGGGGGTGAACGGTCGGCAGTCACATCATCTTCGCTTTACTGATGACAACGTCCTTATAACACCAAACGTTAGCCAAGCGAAACGAATGCTGGGAGGCTTTCATAAAGCCTGTGAAATGAATGGTCTTGGAGTAAATCTCACTAAAACGATGTTCATGAAGAACGGATTGGTTTCACATGCCCTATTCACGTTCAAGAGAACGAATATCTCCGAATACTCCAGTTATATCTATCTAGGTCGAGAAATCAATATAATGAACGACTTAGCTCCAGAGTTGAGCAGAAGGAAACGAGCGGCCTGGGGAGCTTTCAAGTGCAACGGAAATGTGGTGAAGAGGACAAAGAATACCCGACTCCATGCCCAGCTTTTCGACTCAAGGGTTCTTCCTGCCTTAGCGTATGTGTCAGAAACCTGGTTGCTGCGTAAGCATGTTGAAAGGCCACTCATCTTTATCGGGCGCGCAGTCAAAAGGACGATGCTAGGATTATCCCGTTCTTCACAAGTAAAGGATGGGTTCCGAAGCTTCGATAAAAAATCAAAGATGCCATTCTGTACGCCAAACAGTCGAAGATAAGGTGGGCCAGACACGTAAAGCGTATGAATGACATCCGATGGACAGGAGCCGTTAGTGACTGGATTCCTCAGGATGTCAAATGGACAGCAGGAGAACCACCGACCCGGTGGTCAGAGTTCTTCACGAAAAGCCTTGAAGAAAGATATGATGCTCGATGAACCCCTAGAGTAAACTGAACCCACTGGGCTACCCTTTCACGCGACAGGGAAAAATGGAAGATTTACTTGCTCGAGTCACTCGACGATCAACGGGACTACAGGTGATACAGGTGACAATAACATCTGTTTTCTGTACACAGTATATGGCCATTTCCACGTAGTTCTAAAGTCGTTGCTTCTTACCTTCTTGATTGCTAGATATGTTATCTCAAATGTTCTCAAATGTTCTGTGCTTTGAAATATTACACAGCACTGAACCCAAAAGTCTCATGAACCTACAGCGAGTATTCATCAGGAGGCTAGCTCGACTAATTGTCACGGTGCACAGTTTCCAACTTCAGGATATGATTTTAACCCACAATTAGGGAGTCCTAGCGAAATCGTCATCCATCCCTGTCAGCCAAAAAGCGGAGTGATGAGTGTTTTAACACCACATATGAGCAAAAAGGAAAGAATATTTTTTGGAATAAATTAGAGCACCGAACACATAATGAAGCGAAACAGGAGCGAACACATGGTCGTCCGTTTACCTTCTCAAATCTACTACTTTTCCCATCGTGGTACCCACCTCGCACTGATAGTCAGGCATAAAGTACTAGTCAGCAGGTGTTAACGACTGAGTTCTACGAGTTGTAAAGCAACCTAGTGGGATGGAAGGTGATGCATTTTATGAACAAAAAATTTATGACGTCATGACGTTTATAACGAAGCTATAGAAAGAAAGATGTATTAGGCCAGCCTACTTGGATTGTTAACTACGTTACTTGCTTACCTGCTACATTACAAAACTGATTTTTAAATCTTATAACGAGTTGTCTTTGCTTAAGGGATGTACCGTGTCTATTCCAAGCTTTTTGTTATTGTGCTGAAACAAATAAATATAGTTGAAAGGCTAGAAATCTGCTCTCAATCGGTGAGGTTCAATAGTGCTCGTAAATTCCATATGAGGACTCTCTAGCACGCTTATGCTAGGATTTCTTAGAAAGCGTGCCAAATTAGGTTAAATACCAAAAAAATATCGATGAAATTGGAAACGTGCTGTGGCTAATACAATCTCTAAAGATGAGACGTCTAAATATGTATTTAAAGCACTCTGGGAATTCTACAAAGGATGGTGTCAGTCCTGATGGATCCAGCAGGAAACAGAAGTTTATGATCATGTGATGCGCCCTACCATCTTAGAGTATCAGAAACGACTATGTACAAGACACTAACATGAATAAGGAGGAAAAAGAGAAAACGAAATGACTGGAAGCAGAATATAATTCAACAAATAACTAGTCGACCATAGTCTTTTATGCAGGTGCAATAACGAAGTTGAAAGTGTAAATTCAATAATAATTACCTGTTAGTGTGAAGTTTTTCAGGAGACATTTCTATTAAATACTTGAAAAAATATCTGCTGCCATAGCACGATTATCTGCTTCGAATGAAAAATGTGCTGGGATCAATTTGATATGTGAAATCGATTCGCAGAAACAAGCAATTAAATGGAAACTAAATCGCCACTCTGCCACCCGTTTGATAAATAGATTCATTGGCTCGACCTCCTATATTGGCCTACCCAATTTTTTCATCTTCCAATAGAGTTCGAAAGGCTTAATTGACTAAAAACTGCTGTAATCAGTAACTATTAAAGAGCATCAATAAAAACAATCACTTGGTGTCGTGTGCAATGTTAATAGAAATAGAATTACTCAAGGCGGAAAACCTTGTTTACATATGTGAGTTGAACTAGGGAAAAAGGTATAGTCAGGGATGCAGGGAGAGCTTAAGCAATACTGTCGACGTTGATCCGAATAGATGGGACAGGTAAATCTTTATTCGCATGTCTGCAGTGATCGCAGTACTGACACGTCGGAACTTCATTAGTTTTCGTGTGACTTCTTGGAAAAGACTGCTACAAATAACGCTTTTCTGGACGAGAAGGTTGATGCCATGGAAAAACATATGCTACTAGATAGATATCTGGGCTCTTTCACCTGAAGAAGTGAAGCATGAAGGAGCAGACCGGTTAAGATAACCTACACCATCCCTCGTAAACATGTGAAGTGTGATATTATAAATGCTCTCCACTTAAGAAAAGAAATATGTCGTGGAGATATGAGCGACAGTTCACGTTTTCTCAGATATTCAGTGAAAAATGTGTACGTAAGCTAAAATGCGTTTAAAAATTCGGAGAACTCTGCAAAACACAAGCAAACTAGGTAGTAATAAATGGTGGAATCGCTTTCATTCGATTAGATTTCGCATGCACTATGAGTTATTAATGGTGTAACTATCGTTGGTCTCTTTTTCTCTCTTCCTTTGTATGTGTGTGTGTATATATGCACGTATGTATGTATGTACGTATGCATGTATGTGTGTATGTATGTATGTATGCATGTATGTATATATGTATGTATGTATGTATGTATGTGTGTATGTATGCATGTATGTATGTACGTATGTATGTATGTACGTATGCATGTATGTATGTATGTATGTATGTATGTATGTATGTATGTTTGTATGTATGTATGTATGTACGTATGTATGTATGCATGTATGTATGTATGTATGTACGTATGTATGTATGTATGTTTGTATGTATGTATGTATGTACGTATGTATGTATGTATGTACGTATGTATGTGTGTACGTATGTATGTACGTATGTATGTATGTATGTATGTATATATGTATGTATGTATGTATGTATGTGTGTATGTATGCATGTATGTATGTACGTATGTATGTATGTACGTATGCATGTATGTATGTATGTATGTATGTATGTATGTATGTATGTTTGTATGTATGTATGTATGTACGTATGTATGTATGTATGCATGTATGTATGTATGTATGTACGTATGTATGTATGTATGTTTGTATGTATGTATGTACGTATGTATGTATGTATGTACGTATGTATGTGTGTACGTATGTATGTACGTATGTATGTATGTATGTATGTATGTATGTATGTATGTATGTATGTATGTATGTATGTATGTATGTATGTATGTATGTATGTACTTATGTTTGTAACATGAGTTTGAAATCCTATTCACGAGAAGACAGAAGCAAGATTCATCCGGTACAGTCAAAGAGTCGGAGAGCAATGTCGAAAGATAAGAAGGCTGTAGACCCCTTGGCTTTTCTAGTGTTCTATATCGTAACGCGGTTTTTGTGATAGTTTCGAGACACGAACCCACCACGTCAATAATGCGAATGAGTGAAGCGCCGAATTTCACTTTTATACTCTCACTCGCATTCTTCACCGGTCGAACGTTTTTGTTGTAATAGTACAGCAAGTCCTCGTACAACTGCTCCGCGTAACGATTCGATTCCACCACGTAGATTGCGACAACTGGAGTAGATGAAATGTTCCGTATTTCTAGAGCACATGCTGGTTACTGTAGCGTCGTCACATCACTAATAAACTAAAGTGTAACTTTTAACCAGGCTTTATTGTTTTTTTCGTTAGGCACGGAGCGTTTGCTGCAAAACTCAGGAAAGAAAATGCAAAGCACTGAAGTTGAGGGCAACTTGCTGGACTTCCTTATATTTGCATATCCAATTAGGGTAAGAAAATTTTTTTCAACGAATGTAGAGGAATATTTCATCTCTACATAGTAAAACGTAAAATTGGAAAGAGAAAAGAATTCATTTACATAGGTTTCCTTGAAAGATATGTCTTGGAGAGATTATTGTAAATGTTGCAGAAAATAAAGTGGACCTGTGCAAACATACCAACGACGAAACCGAACCCTCTCATTGTTTCATTTGAGATGACAACTGCGATGAAGCTTACTATGGTCACACAGTAAGACTGAGGGCTTTTTCTGCAAAGCAAGCTAAATCACTATAATCTCGTGACTAGATCTCAATATGCAACAGCACCTCTAGCAGCGTAAAATAAGATGGCGAAACTTTGCCATGCGATCCAGTATTGGATTAGGAAGGTAATAACTCCAGTGTGGTTCTAAGCATATAATAAGAATTAATATAGAACACGAGTAGTTCAGTACACAAAACGGTTCGAGTTCGGCTGACGTTTGCAACGCGGATGCGAGGTTGCACGAAACATGGCAGAGCCAGGTGTTCAGTGATAGTGACGGGCTCAGCCATGGCCATTGATCACTCGCGGCAGTCTACTTACGTTTAAAACTCTCGATGAGAGCAATTCATGTTGCTTTAAGATTTTTCGGAAAAATGTGTGGATGGAAGTGTTGGAGATGCATTGAAATTATGGTGAGAAGTAGACATGTCTGTTCGAGAATTTCCCGCGAGGCTTAAACGCAAATGGCATGTAGGAATAGCGCAGTGTTGGATGGAGATGCGTCTGTCCAGAGAAATCGCCGAACGCTTAAATTAGCTTTATAGAAAGTCAGTTGCACATAGTCTATTAAAACAATTGGTATAGCTATGATTCGGCCGAATTAATACGCGATATCAAAACGCTTACTTTTTATTTGCTGCCTAATACAAATTTTCACTCATGGTATTGTGCGAAATACAATCACAACGATGCTGAGATGTTTGTAAAACATCAGACCGCAGGTGTCCTATCTAACTAACTGAGAGACAGGCGACACGAAGTAGCAGCATGGTGTGGTGGTGAAGGCGTTAGTCCCCGGAAAAGGTAATAGCGTGTTCGTTTTCCACCGCAGATACATGCGGTCCGGAGTTTTGTAAATATCTCAGCAGCGTTGTGGTTGTAATACGCGATAATAATAGAATTATAGTGGGCGGTGGGAGGTGGTAGCGCAGTGATTAGTGAAGCAGTCGATCAGGCGATCAGGAAGCAAAGGCGCCAGTTCGCTCACTTCTCCCCCTACCACCAACCGCCTCTCCCAATCCACGTGGGAACGCGCTAGCCCAACTATCTCCAAAATCGTGGAATAAAGCCCAAAGCAGCAACGGAAATAACACGCGAAATGTCCGAAGACCTTCGTGGACGATGAATGGTTGAAAGTAATAATGCTACCGTGCAGTAGATGTGAAAATGAGTCATGGAAAAACAGGAAAAATAAAAATGTAAAATAACAAAAAAAATTATCAGGCTATTGGGAAAATACCCTTTTTTCTTCAACCTCAAATACACCACTTGCTTATTGTCATGAAGTTCAATAAACCACACAGAATGCTACTGCACTTAACATATTCGAGTGTATGACCATGACGGTAAAATTGAAGACTTGTGTTTCTTTATTTTACACACACGACTCGTCTTTGACACCTGCTGTGCGGATCCCATAAAATTACGTTAAATGAGATAATTTCCTATCTCTCCATAGAACAATCAGTGTTTTGTATATTTTCGCACGCAAACAAAATCACGTACACACACATACGCATACATGCACGCGCCCACACACACACACACACACACACACACACACACACACACACACACACACACACACACACACACACACGCACGCACACAGACAATTACATAAACACGCAATACGCATGCACATGAGCACTCACGTGCACCTGTGTGTCGTAACTCTGTCTGCGTTCTACCAATTCATTTGTCACTCAAAAAAAGTTGCTCAAAAACTGGCTTCATTTTATGTTACTTAAATCAACCCTTTTGTTTAAGCTGGTTGCCATCCTGATCTGATGAATAACTTTCTCTTCGTAAACTATAATTACTGAAGAATGAAAGATAGTATTGTGATGCATGCAAGTCTCTCTGAGTCCCACGTGGCATCAACAGTGTTCAGAAGTCAACAACAGGTACTAAAAAGCACCTACTGCAGCCATAAATTTTATGGCGGCCTCGCACAAAGTTATCAATAAACCAGAACACTGATAATTCGTGCCGAAGCTCAGTGGAAGTTGAAATTGAAAAGGCACCTTGCCTTTTGCAGTATTAATCTGATTGCTACAAGATAGATTGTCACCAACAAAACAAACAACCTTAACCGTTTTACTTACTGCCTACTGTTTTTAATGGCAGGGTATATTGCGAAACATAACTTTTAACGGTGCTGACATATAAGTAAAACTCCTGACCACAGGTGTTTGCGGTGGAGAACGAACGCGCTATTATCCTTTCCGGGGAGTAACGTGTTCACCACTACACCATGCGAATCCTTCGTTTCGCCTGTGTCTCAGCTAGATCTGTAGATCTCTGCCATCAGCAACCACCCGTCAAGGGGATTGATCTAGTGAGTCCAAATCGGCAACGAACCCAGTTAAGTTGATGTGATTGCTGTATTGTGATTTCGACTACAGCCATCGGATATCACAAACAATTCAATTCTCGCGAATATAACCTCACTGAAGTCAAAACGAAGATCTTTTTTTCTAAAATTATTGTAGAAGTCGGTTAACATATGACAATCTCATCAACAAGAGGAATACGGTGTAAGTACGGACCATCGGTTTTCACTCCCATATTGTCCCATTCCAGTGTTCACACAACGTTCTCCATAGTGACGGTAAGTAATTTTGGGGAGATCGTCTTGCCTAATATTTCCTTTTACACCGATGTCAATATCGTTGCAGAATGGTGAAATTTTTGTGGTGAAATTTTTATATGGCTCATGAAGAACGTTTGTACACTGAGCGGGACACCCGCACTGTGCAGAGCTTCCATGACCACACCTGTCTCAAATAAGCGGAAATCAACCATAAGGATACTGAGACATGAGCAAAACTTAAAGCCACAAATGTGCTTCGAATCGGTTATTATCCTTTCAGTAGACTCACGTGTTTTCCTCTACACCAGCCTTATCTCGTAATTCAAGCGCAGTTGAGATAACGAGTTTCGCTCATATTTCAGCATTCGTATGATTAAACTCCACATGACAGCATGCTATGAAAAGCAAGTAGCAATAAAGAATGCTGAAACATTATACGTCGATGTCCTTATTTAAGTATATGAAAGCGAGAGGAGATAAGCTTCCTACTGTTTCGTGAAACGTCAGTGAGACTTGTTAACGTTTGTATGTGGTCTATCTTACTGAATCCATTTTGAGACCCAACTCGCTCACATTGCATTCGTCGTCCAGTGTTCTGTCAATCCTGCTTAACACGACTCGTGTGAAGAGTTTATTTTATACGACAGAGAACAAATAGATTCGTCGGTAGTTTCCGATATCATGGGTGTCACTATTCATGAGCAACAGCATGGTCTTGATAGTCGTCCATTGCGACCATTTGCGACCTAATCATAAAAAGGCAGATCTAACTAATACCCATAAATGCTAGATAGCTCCAATGATGACGATATTGGAACGACGATCTAAAAGTGCATGGAAAGAAGATGAGCTAGCAAAAATAATCTGATAACGAGAAGTTAAACGGTCTCTTACACTGTTCTTCGAATAGAGACAATCATTAGGCATGTTAAAATCTAAAAAGTTCATTTGAACAAGTGGTGAGTAGCAGAGAAAAACGTGCCTACGAATGAATTTTGCATGGATTTCAGCATCATTCAAATGATATCTTGTGCAAATTTTTACCATTTATATAACACGCCGAGTCTCGGAACGGAAGATTGCTGGATGGCATATCTGTCTTCCTGATATGACGTGAATAAAGAAGAACTCGACGGTCAAATGTGTTGAAGTAAAAGTCGTGTATCACCGTCCCTAATACTCTTCTGGATACAGCGGTTGTTGCATTGAGTCTCATCGCAAGAGGCTATTTTGATTTTGTAAATGGTGAGCTACACCGAGGTTGCACTTACGGATCACCGTAACCTTCCCAGCACTACAGTTCCTCCCTACTTAAGATTTCTATTATACAAATATATACCCAACACGTGTGTACGCATGCAATGAGCGTTTATTTTTAAAAATAAACCACTTCGTCTGTTAATTCTTTATGCGAGAGTGGTGAGACATGTCACTTACCTAAAACTGTAGAAATTTCACGTCTTAGATAGCAAAATTGAACCCGTTACTAATACGGCGATTGATTACGACGCATGTATATAAGCATGAACGGAATACGTAGGAGTGGAGTCGATACCGAACTCTTCTCGACGCCGGGAGTACGACCCGCTTTGAGGCGGTGAGAGATTGGCACATGTTCTCCTTGTTGCTGTTGGTATTGTTTGTCGATGGCTGAAGCTTCGACGATCTTGCTTTCCTCAAAGCCTCATAGTGTTAGTAGAGGTCAAACTTTCAGATAAACGCCATATTGATCAGAAAGGCCACCCACCGTGCTATTACGATTTGGACCGCCCGCATATCGTTCACTTGGACGGCAAGCGAGACCCCATGGTCAAAATACCATTTTGAAATAAGGCGCCAAGTCACGTGTGATAGTGAGGCATTTGTCTTTTCGGTTGATCTTTGGGTTTTTGAAATTAATCCAAAACGCCTCTAGAATAATACTCGTTTATGGTGTTGATACCTGCGCTAGGATCCGGCCCGGCCAGTCACTTCGAAATCATCGCCATTGTGCTTTTGTGCCCTATGTGTACCTAGAGGAGTGCTTTACCCAATGTTAACTTTTCCTTCCAGACGCTCCTTTATGCGGAGAGGAAGTGATCTGCCTGTCTCCCCAATGTTTTGCTCATCACATTCCTTACACGAGATCAAGCATATCGTGTGTGAGTGAACTCATGCTATCCTCGTCTCTCCCGTTAACACAAATGATACAGTTTCAGTTGAGGCAGTTTCAAATTAACTGAGGGCGTAAGGCATTGGGTGGGAGGTCAAAAACCGCCACACAATTTTCAACACCACTTTTTCTTAGGCACCTCTCAATAGCGTTACTTATTTCGTTTGACATGAACGGCAGCTTAAAAGG